AACTAGATACTAACTTAACCCACATGCAACAACCACGGCTCAAAACTCCTAAAACGGTACCTGAAATATCAAACGAGATTCATAAACATCAAACGGGGCACGGGGAAACAACAAACGGGGTAAAACGTCACAACTCACCGCCTCATTCCGGCGGGTGGTTGACCACCCGCCGGTGGGTGGCTATGTACTAGCGAGTGCACGGCGGGTGATCAACCATCCGCCCGCCACCCGTTGGTACGGCGGTCCTGTACTGGCGGGTGGTCTGGTGGGGATTCGTCCCCCCACCGACCCCCCACTGGTACGATGGTAACTTGGCACTTTTCCCAACTCGGAAATTCCTCAATTACGCCCAAAACTAAGTCCAAATACATCCCAATACACAACAACAACAATATGGACTTGAACCACAAGAATTAAGCCAAGAAACCAACACAATTAAATCTCAAATACAAGCACTAATCATGCCAAGAATCAAAAATAAATGCACAATAATTCAAGATCATCCAGAACCTCAAGAACTCAATCATACCAAGCATCAACGACAAACCCTAAACCTAGAATAACACCCGAGCATGCATAAACCCACCCAAGAACGCCAATAACATATCCAATAACAAGATTCACCGAATAAATCCTAGGGACAAGCTCTAAACACAATAAAATATAAGAACATACCAAGACCACACAGGGCCACCAAGAATATCAAGAATAACAAGAATCCATATCACAAATTCCTAAAGACAAGCTCTAACAAGGCACAATCACAAGAACATACATACGATTATCAAAGGAGCCAATAAATAAGATATAGCAAGGAAAATAGGTTTTTTAAGACATCGGTTACCTCTTAGCCTTAATTAATACTCCCTTGGCTATTAAGGTTCTTTCCCAAGATTTCCTCCCGATTGATTTCCCTAGACTTGGTGGTGGGGAATTCCTTTGGCTAGGTTTCCCTGGGCAATTCGTGTATCCCGAGTTATGAGAGGTGGGGGGGTTCTAATTGCTTTCTAATCCCCTATTTATAGAGTTATGAATCCTAATTAGAGTCTGGATAGCAAAAGGTCTATTTTCTTTATTCCTATCGGGCTTGTAGTCTTTAATATGGGCAAGGGTCCATGATCCATTGTGGACCACATTAATTAATTAAGGGAATCCTAACCAGCTTAAGTCCTTTTTAATTATTTATCAATGAGATTAATTCAATAATTAATCCGGGTTTAAAGGCCGTAACACGGGGTGTTACAATATCACACAGATTGATGTACCAAGTTTCCTGGCAGCTGTTGATGCCACACATGATCAACATCTCACTACTTCTGCATCACCAAGCTCACTAGAAACAACCAACTCACCTCCAACGGCTGCAGAAATTCCTGCTCCCCAAGTAGCCAATGGGAACGCCGCCAACCTGCTCATTTAGCATATTTTCAAGTTGAATTACCCCAATCTCTCAACAAGTTGTCAAAGTGTCCGACTAGCAACGTGGTATATCTGTTATCTTCTTTTGTTACTTATGATAAATTTTCAAACTCACATCGTGCTTTTTTAACGGCCATCACAAATCATGATGAGCCTTAGTATTTTTCTCAAGCAATTCGCCATTCCTATTGGCGTGAAGCCATGCAAAGGGAAATTCGTGCACTTGAACAAAATGGAACGTGGGAAATTGTATCCTTACCACCCTGAAAGAAGGTCATCGCTTCTAAATGGGTCTACAAAATACAATTCAAACCAAATGGAGAGGTCGCGGTGTGGTACATCTGTACTACTGGCACGCGGTACATCTACCGCCTATGTCTTCCAGACCGGTGTGGTACGTACGTTCTGGTGCGGTACACGTCTACCGTGTATAGTTCATCTGACCATTTTGAGAGATTAATTCAACTGTTACCGAATTAATTTCAGATTAATTCCAATTTTGAATTCCAGAATTAATCTCCACGTTCAATAGTCAGTTTTGATGGTTTTTAACCTGAATTTAAATGCTAAAGTAAATGCTATTTACACCACCTTCTCCTATTTAAGAAGTAGTAGTTGCAGCAGATTTCTAAAACACAACGAAAATAATATTTTCAGCTCCAAAATCTCTGCTTCTACTCCTTTCTTAGCCTATTGTGTTCTAAGCTTGGCTCTAGTTCGCCGGGTTCAAAGTTTGGGTGCTCAAACCTTAAATCGTAGCATGTTTTATCCTGGGAAACCTAGGCTACAACGCTCCTAGCACTTGTGGGAGGTAGCGAATAAGGTTTTAAGGAAAGAGTGGTCGTCGCTCGACTCGTGCTAAAAACCTACACCAAACACGAGCCATTTCTCTTCACCCTTTCCTTCCCCTTTCTGTAGGATTATTATTTGGGTTTTACCAACAAATATCCATTAATCTTAAAACCTTATATTCCCTTATTCTCTGTTGAGTCTCTACTTTCCTAGAAGAAGTGGAGAATCCCGTACTGCCTAATCAAGGGGAGGAAAATGTTGTTGAGAACAACAGTGGTGGGAATGGCAACAACGTTGCGAATTCCCAGGCACCACCAGTGAACGTTGGTTCACAAGATGGTGGGAGCACCGAGGGTTACATCCCTACGATACGGGTACCTACGGTACCAAGTGGTTCGACTGAAAGACCGGAGAAGTTTAGAGATATCGGATCGAACTTCAAGAGGTGGCAACAGAAGATGTTGTTCTACCTGGCAACTCTCAGCTTGACAAGGTTCTTGAGTTGAAGGAACAAGATGCCCAATCCGTGATGGCAGTTGGCTATGGGAAGGATTCAGACTTCTTTTGCCGAAACTACATCCTAACCGAATTATGTGATGCGTTATACGATGTATATCGCAAGATTAGCACAACGAAAGCGTTGGGGGAAGCATTGGATCATAAATACCGAAGCGAGGATGCCGACACAAAGAAATTTGTGGTTGGCCGATTCCTCGACTTCAAAATGGTTGATTCCAAAATCGTGCTAAGTCAGGTAGAAGATTTGCAACTAATCTTCGATGAGATCCGTGACGAGGGCATGGTGCTGAGTGAAGCCTTCCAAGTGGGATCCATGATCCACTTGTTGCCCCTAGAATGGAAGGACTTCAAGAACTACCTTAAGCATAAGCGAAAGGAGATGAATCTGGAGGACCTGATCCAGTGACTCAGAATTGAGGAGGGGAATAGGAAAATGACAGGAAAGTTCTTGTCATTGATGGCTTAAGGCCCACGTTGTGGAGCATGGTAAAGGCTCCAAGAGGAACAAGCGGAAGCTTGGTCCGAAGGGAGTCGTTACCAAGAACAAGTTTCACGGTACATGCTATAATTGTGGCAAGCCTGGCCACAAATCCTCTTAATGCAATGCTCCAAGGAAGAAGAACAAGAGTTCTTAAGCCAACGTTGTTGGAGAGAGTAGTCAGAAGGAGGTCGAGATTAGCCTTTCGGCTATGGTGACCGAGGTGAACCTCGTGGGCTCTAACCCACGTGAGTGGTTCATCGACACTGGTGCAACAAGGCATTTATGTTGCAACCGAGAGATGTTCAACACCTTTGAGACCGTTGAGGGCGAGAAGGTTTGGATGGGAAACTCTGCTCAGTCTGCTGTGGAAGGCATGGGCAAGGTGGTTCTGAAGATGAATTTTGGGAAGGAACTGGCGTTGAACTATGTGCTGTATGTTCCAGAGTTGAGGAAGAATCTTGTGTCTGGCTCGCAGCTGAACAAGCATGGGTTCCACATGGTGTTCGAGTCAGACAAGGTTATTTTGTCTAAGTTAGGACTGTTCGTTCGTAAAGGTTTTGTAACTGATGGGCTTTTTAAGCTCAGTGTAATTCCTGTTATCAATAAAAGCAAAGTTAACTCTGTTTACTTGCTTGAGTCTTCCAATTTGTGGCATGGTAGACTAGCTCATGTTAATTTTAAATCTATTCGTAGATTAATTAACATCCACCATATTCCTAATGAAAAAATATAAGGAGCAACACACACAGTAATGTTGTAACGTATGTTTGTAACACCGGGAAATTGTAACGCAGTTTGGGCGAAAACCCTAATCTGCGAGGCACTTCATAAATTGAGAATTAGCCTAAATTCACTATGAGCAATTTCAAAAGTACAGAGTATAGGAAGAAGAAAACTTTACACAATAGATCTCACAAACTCTCATAATCTATTGTAACCTAAACTCTCGTACTACTCCAAAGTGATAGACTCTCTTTCTCTCAATATATCTGTATGCACTCGGTCAGATGATTCGGGTAAAATCGCTGCCGCTATTCTTCTAAGAGTCTCTCTTAAATAGGTGATACTTGATCACAATCCTGGTTAAAGTATAAATCCCAATTAGATTAGGATTTGAATGATGCTTGTAGTTTGACTGGGAGACAAGTCCCAATTAGATTAGGATTTGAATGATGCTTGTAGTTTGACTGGGAGACAATTGAATCTGTGTTTTCAATTATCCTTTTTGCCAATAATATTTTTGACAATTCTTTATTCAACAATCTCCCCCTTTGTCAATATTTTTGGCAAAAACCTTGATTCCTGATTTTCTTGAATATCTCCCCCTTAGTCCTTGCTGTCTAGTAGTCTGCTTATCACAATCTTCAAGTGGTAGTTTTGATTTGAAGTGATTGGTGATATTGTCAAGTCTTTAAACTGTCTTAGTCCAAGGATTAGTAACCTAGGCAATTTTTCCTAATAATGCACATAGTCATTTGCTATTGCAATTACATTAGTATGCTATTTTGATAGTAAGACATAACACAAAAGATAGTCTTTCTAATGATGCACATAGTCATTTGCTATTGCAGTTACATTAGCATGCTACTTTAATAGTAAGACAGAGCACAAAAGATAGGCAGATGTCAAAAAGATTGTCTTGGTAGTATCAGTATCAAGCAGTATCAAAAAAAAAAAGCATAATAGTAAGCAGTCATAAGCAGTCATCATCATAATAGTAAGCAGTCATAAGCAGTCATCATCATCAGGATTCATCTCCCCCTGTTTTTGACAAAAACATTTGACAAGTTCAGTCTGAGTCAGAGGATGTTGCTTCTGGGGTTCCAACAGCCTGTTCTTCTTCTTGGCTTCCTTCTTGATTTTCTGCATCATCTTCTTGGGACTTTTCAGTCTCTCCTTCAGATTCTTCTTCATCAGCATTTACTTCTTGGGATTTTTCAGCTTCCTTATCAGGCTCTTCTTTATTGTTTGCTCCTAAGGCTGTAAGCCATTTGAGTACTTCAACTTTCTCTTCTTGGATTTCCAACTGTCTCTGCTTTATGTACCTTTCAGATGTATTAAGCTCATTGAGTCTTTTCTGGAAGTATTTTTGAAGCATATCAGTGTTCATGGGGTCATCTTCTGGACTTGTGATTTTCAGGTCATTTTGATGAAATCCCTTTTTCAGTTTAACAGACACATTCAGGGTTTTGATCTGTTGGAGATTCTTCTTGGTAGTCTTCAGTCCTTGTTTGGTGAGGATGGTTTGGATTAGGTTTGGAAAGATTAGAGAGGCTTTGGGAGATTTGATTTCAGCTAGATTCATGATTTGTTGATGTACCAGTTCTCCATAGCTGATTTTGATCTTTTTCCCAACTTTGTATAATAATTCTGCCAAGCTCCATTTCACAGTGTTCTCATGTAAGGAAGGCATCCAGTTTGCCAGAGCTATTTTCTGTATGATTGCATATTTGCTTGTCAGGGAGGCAGCTTTGATCTTCTTCTTTTCAAGGACTACATTTCCTGCTGTGATCTCCTGGGCTATGATGTCCACATTATGATCGAATTGATCATCTTGTTCATAGGTGTTGTAGCAGGTGTTTATAACATCTGGGGAAAAGTCATAGTAATTTCTTCTTAGGTAAATTTTTCCATACAAAGGATTTGATGGGACTGATGATTCCTTTTTGAGATTGCTATAAAATTCATGAATCATTTTTTCTTCAAATGGTTCAATCTTTGTGACTATGTCAAGCAACTTTCCTTGAGCTAGGAGTTCTATGATGTGTTCTCCATCTTTAAGGTTCTCCAGATTGACCAGCTTTTGAGGGATGATTTTTCGTTGTGAGGTTTTGTGCCACAGATTGCTTGAAGCTTTATCCTGGAACTGGTTGTTGAGAGGTTGTGGCAGATCGGGTGTTGGAAGTGTGGTTTCAACATCTATTTCTGCTGTTTGTTTTCCCTTTTCCTTTGATGTGAACTCCCTTCGTGATTTGCCCTGATTCTTTGAGACATTTACCTGGGGCTTTTTGGACCTTTCATTCTGGCATTCTTTACTATTTTCCCAGTCATCATCAACTTCTTTTTGTTTTCTTTTAGCAGTCCTAGTCATCCTTGGAGGTGGGATGTTAGGTGTCCTTCTTGGAGGCCCCACAGAGATTGGAAAATCACATGGTCTTTTAGCTCTGGGGTCAGCTCCTTCATACGGATCCACTCTTCTTCTTTTTCTTAGGATTTCATCAGGATTAGTTTCATTTGGGCTTATTTCGTGGCCTTCTACTCTTAATTCAGTAGAGATATTGTCTAGCTCTTTTTCAAAGCTGTCAACTGTGTCTGAATTTGTAACCCTAATTTCTGGGTTAGATTCTGATTCCCTAATTTCTTCCTCATTTGTAGGGAGTTTTTCTTGTGGCACTAAGTTTTCACTTTGTTGGTGTATGATTTTGTCTAGGTCAACTATCAATTCCCCAAATATACCCTCTGAACCAGTCGGTTCTGTTTCTGCAATCGGGTTTGATTCTGCAAGTGGGTTATCATCTAGGGGTGATTCGAGAGGGGGAGATGAGTTACCTGGTTGAGAGTAGATGTCTTCGAAAGGTATCTGCGTGATTGGTACTGGATCCATGACTATATCCTCCGAGTGTTGTGGCTGATCGAGTGGAGAATCTTTGCTGATGGCAGGGGTTCCTCGTCGTGGTGGCTGACGGGATGATTTCTTTCCTTTCGGCATCTTGGAACCTCTTGATTTCTTCATAGTTCTGAGATTGGTGAGTGATGAAGAAGATGATCGACAGGAGTGGTGGTCGTGGATGGCGATAGTGGTGGTGATCGTGGATGGTGATGGACAGGGCAGAGGGGTGGGATTGCAATCGGACCCGGAAGTGATATTTTGGATTTTGAACCGGATTCATAACATGGGCTATTGGGCTGAGATCCGGATTCAGATTATGGCATTCATGGGTTGGCCCGGTTTGTCATTCGTAACCTTTTATATATATATATATATATATATATATATATATATATATATATATATATATATATATATATATATATATATATATATATATATATATATATATATAGAAAATAATATATGAAAAACAAAAACTATTATATAAAACAAGAAAAAAGAGTAGAGTTTAGTTAATTCTACACAGTCCAATTTCAGACCTTAGTCTTATGAATTTATTTCCGTCCAATCCTTTTGTCATTATGTCTGCAAGTTGATTTTCTGTGTTGATGTGCCTCATGGTAATGATTTCTTCCTCTACTAGTTCTCTGATGAAGTGATGTCGTATGTCAATGTGTTTAGTACGTGAGTGTTGGACTGGATTTTTTGAAATATCTATGGCACTTTTGTTGTCACAATATACTGTCATTTTTGCTTGACTGATTCCATAGTCTTCTAGCATTTGTTTCATCCATAACAATTGAGTGCAACAGCTTCCAGCAGCTATATATTCAGCTTCTGCAGTTGATAGTGATATTGAATTTTCTTTTTTACTTATCCAAGAGACTAGATTTGTTCCAAGTAAGAAACATCCTCCAGTAGTACTTTTTCTGTCATCCATGTTGCCTGCCCAGTCTGCATCGCAGTATGCTGATAGATATTTGTTTGTGTCAAAGGAGTACCATATTCCTAGATCAGATGTTCCTTTGATGTACTTGATAATTCTCTTCACAGTTTTCATGTGTGATTCTTTAGGAGATGATTGATATCTGGCGCATATGCCTACTGCGTAGCAAATGTCTGGTCTACTGGCAGTTAAATATAGTAGACTACCAATTATGCTACGATATAGTTTTTGTTCTACATCTTTTCCTTCTGTATCTTTGGCAATTTTGTCTGATGTTGCAACAGGTGTTCTGGCAACTTTGCTTTCTTTTAGACCGAATCTGTTGACAAGATTGTTTGCATACTTACTTTGTGAGATGAAGATTCCTTCTTCCAGTTGTTTTATTTGCAAACCTAGAAAGTAGTTGAGCTCTCCAACCATGCTCATTTCAAATTCGCTTTTCATGTGACGAATGAATTCATCTTTGTAGGTCTCTCTGGATGATCCAAATACTATATCATCAACATAGATTTGTGCTATGATGATGTCGCTTTTGTAGTGTTTGACAAATAATGTTTTGTCGACGCTTCCTCTATTGTATCCTTTTGAGAGTAGGAATTGTGTTAACCTTTCATACCAAGCCCGTGGAGCTTGTTTTAAACCATATAAGGCTCTCTTTAGTCTATAGACATGGTTAGGATGGAATGGATCTTCAAACCCTTTGGGTTGGGATACGTACACTTCCTCTTTTATATATCCATTCAGGAATGCTGTTTTCACGTCCATTTGGTAAAGTTTGATTTTTAGGATGCATGCTACGGCAAGGAGAAGGCGTATGGATTCTATCCTAGCAACTGGGGCAAAGGTTTCTTCAAAGTCGATTCCTTCTTCTTGAGTGTATCCTTGTGCTACAAGTCGGGCTTTATTTCTCACTATATTTTCCCTTTCATCAGTTTTATTTTTGTAGATCCATTTTGTTCCTATGATGTTAGAGTTGTCTGGTGCAGGGACAAGTTCCCATACTTCATTTCTTTCGAATTGTTGTAGCTCTTCTTGCATGGCTTCGATCCAGTATTCGTCAAGGAGGGCCTGCTCGATGTTTTTTGGTTCTATCTTTGAAGTGTAGCATGAATCTCCTTCAGACATTTTGAGGTAATCTCTTTTCTTTCCTCTTATCCGTATTCCCTGATTTGGGTCACCGATGATATTTTCTGTAGGATGATTCTTCTGGATTTTAGTGTTCTTGTTGATGGGTGCTTCATCGATATCATCTTCTGTTGGTTTTCCAGAATTATCATCTTGTTCTGACTCTATAGGTGGTGTTGAAACTTCTGTTTCAACACTTATGGTTTGCTCATCATCATCATCTTTGACTTCTGTTGAATCTATGTCAGTGAATGACACATTGATGGATTCCATTACACTTTGAGTTCTGAGATTGTAAACTCGAAATGCCCTGCTGTTAGTAGAGTATCCTAGGAAAAAACCTTGATCACCTTTGATGTCGAATTTCCCCAATTGTTCTCGGTCTCTTAAGATATAACATGTGCTGCCAAATATGTGTATGTGTTTGAGGTTGGGAGTTTTTCCTTTCCATATTTGGTATGGTGTCATATTTATCTCTTTCCGTATGTATACCCGGTTGATTAGATAACAGGCTGTATTTACAGCTTCAGCCCAAAATTTTTTAGGAATCCTTTTGTGATTTAGCAATACCCTTGCCATTTCTTGTATAGTTCTATTTTTCCGTTCCACTATTCCATTTTGCTGCGGTGTTTTAGGGGCTGAAAATTCGTGGTGTATTCCTTTTTCGTCGCAAAAATCTTTGAAGTACGAATTTTCGAATTCTCTTCCATGATCACTTCTTAACCGTAAGATTTTTCCTATTTTACCTTCTTTTTCAGTTTCAATTTTATTGATGAGAATTTTGAAACTTTTGAAGGTATCCGATTTTTCTCTGAGGAACATGACCCATGTAAAACGTGAGTAATCGTCTACTGTTACATGTACGTAACGTTTTCCTCCTATGCTTTCAACTTGAGTTGGACCAAAAAGATCCATGTGCAGGAGTTCCATAATTCTTGTGGTGTGGATTCCTGATATCTTCTTGTGGGTTTTTCTTGTTAGTTTGTTCTCAAGACATGTTCCACAGGCTTTGTTTTCGTTTATTTCCAGTTGTCGTGGTAAGCCTCGATATGCCCCTTTTTTTATCCCTTTCTTCATGTCATGGAAGTTTATGTGTCCCATTCGTTGATGCCAAATTTGTGCTTCAGTTTCTTTGGAAAGATGACAGGTAAGTTGGTTTGTCCAGACGTAGCATTTGTCTTATGATCTATTTCCTTGCATCATGCATTGATTGTTTTGGTCATATACATGGCAACTGTCTTTGGAGAATTTTACTTGTAGATTATCATCGCATAGTTGACTAATACTGATTAGGTTTGCCTTAAGTCCTTTTACCAGGAAGACTTGAGTAAGTTGTGGTAAACCGGTTACATTTAATGTTCCGCTTCCAATAATTTGGCCTTTTCCTCCATCTCCAAATGTAACATGTCCTCCTTCTTTTGGTAGTATGTTGATCAGATGTTCTGATTTCCCAGTCATGTGACGTGAGCATCCACTATCAAAGTACCAGATTTCGGTATTCTTTTCTGTTTTGGAGGTGAGGGCAACTGTTTGTGTTTGATTTTTTCTGACCCATACCTTTCTGGTTTGTGATTGTCTCCTCATAATATAATTTTGTCTAAACCAGCAGTGTGCTTTAATATGACCTGGTTTGTGGCAATAATAGCACCTGATCCTTCGATGTTGGAAACGTTGTTGAAACATCTCTGGATTTTCTGATTGTCTTTTATCAGTATGTTCAGTTTCCTGGAAGTTTTCTCTCTCTATAAGATCTTTTTCTTTTTCTTGAAGTTTCTTCAGTTCCTTTTTTGTTTCCTGATGATCTCGTATCTCTCTTTCCTTTTCAGTTTGTAAATCACGGTTCTTTTGCATGAGCTCCGTATTAACCCTAATAAGTTCTTGCCATTTTGATTGTAATACTGTGTATGCTTCGAATAACCCTTGAATGTCCTCTTGGGTAGTGTCTTCCTCTTCTTGTCTAGTGGTGAAAGCAACGAAATTTGAGTTTTCATTTTCGCTGTCAGAGTCATCACTAAGTGTGGTGACGTAGGTTTTGTTCTTCCTTTTCAGGTATGTCGCACATTCTGATTGGATGTGTCCGTATCCTTTGCATTCGTAGCATTGTATCCCATCGACGTTTTGAGAAGATTTCCCCTTTTTCTGGTTCTCAAATATGCGTGGTTGTGAATTTGAGTTGTTTCCATTGGTGTTTGTGAAGTTCTTGTTTTTACTTCTGAACTTGTTGAATTTCTTAACCACTTTATTGAAATTCTTAGTGAGAAGAGCAATGGTTTCTTCTATGTTCTGTGTGTCATCATCTGAATCGGTAGACTGTGTAGTTTGTAGTGCAATTCCTTTGCTTGACATGTTTGGTTTTCTTTGAAGCATCTCAAGTTCGTATGTTTGCAAGTTTCCCATCAGGTCACTAAGTTTGTATGTGTCTAGGTTTGTGCTTTCTTGTATGGCAGTGACTTTCATGAGGAACCTTTCAGGTAAAGATCTGAGTACCTTTTTGACCAATTTTGGTTCGGGAAAGGGTTCTCCTAAATTATATGCTGCTCCGGCTATGTCGAGGATCTTTGCATTGAATTGTGTGATATTTTCGTTTTCCTCCATTTTCAAGGTTTCAAATTGAGTCTGGATCATCTGTAGTTTTGACTGTTTGACAATAGTATTGCCTTCATGATGATTGCATAAGATTGTCCAGGCTTCTTTGGCTATTTCAGTGTTTGATATTAGTTTGAATGTTTCTTCACTTACTGCTCCATAAATAGAGTTCATGGCTTTTGAATTAAAGTCAGCTTCTTTGATTTCTTCCTCAGACCACTCCCTTTTAAGTTTCTTTTCTCCTTGTTCATTGGTAGGTGGCACCCACCCTTCTTCTACTGATCTCCATACTCTTTCACCTTGGGACATAATATATACTCTCATTCTAGCCTTCCAATAAGAGTAATTTGCACTGTTTAAAGCTGGTGGTCTGCTGCTTGATAAACCTTCTCTGGGAAAATCCATTGTGTTGTTCCTTTGGGTGGTGTAGGATCCTGCTAGCAGTTTTAGCAGCCCGCTCTGATACCAATTGAAAAAATATAAGGAGCAACACACACAGTAATGTTGTAACGTATGTTTGTAACACCGGGAAATTGTAACGCAGTTTGGGCGAAAACCCTAATCTGCGAGGCACTTCTCAAATTGAGAATTAGCCTAAATTCACTATGAGCAATTTCAAAAGTACAGAGTATAAGAAGAAGAAAACTTTACACAATAGATCTCACAAACTCTCATAATCTATTGTAACCTAAACTCTCGTACTACTCCAAAGTGATAGACTCTCTTTCTCTCAATATATCTGTATGCACTCGGTCAGATGATTCGGGTAAAATCGCTGCCGCTATTCTTCTAAGAGTCTTTCTTAAATAAGTGATACTTGATCACAATCCTGGTTAAAGTATAAATCCCAATTAGATTAGGATTTGAATGATGCTTGTAGTTTGACTGGGAGACAAGTCCCAATTAGATTAGGATTTGAATGATGCTTGTAGTTTGACTGGGAGACAATTGAATCTGTGTTTTCAATTATCCTTTTTGCCAATAATATTTTTGACAATTCTTTATTCAACACCTAATTTTCAAATTAACACAAATAACAAATGTGAAATTTGTGGTGAGGCAAAACTAACGAAAGTACCTTTCAAATCGGTTGAAAGGGAAACTGAACCACTAGAATTAATCCATAGTGATTTGTGCAATTTTAGATCGATACAAACGAGAGGTGGAAATAAATATTTTATCACGTTTATCGATGATAGCATACGTTATTGCTATGTGTATTTGCTAAAGAGCAAAGACGAAGCCTTGGAAAAATTCATTCTTTATCAGAATGAAGTTGAAAACCAACTTAATCATAAGAATAAGAAAGTTAGAAGCGATAGAGGTGGTGAGTACAAAACACCTATTGGTGACTTTTGTGCAAGTGTAGGTACCATACACGAGCGTATGACACCTTATGCACCTCAATCGAACGGTGTTGCTGAATGAAAGAATCGTACATTGAAAGATATGATGAATGCGATGCATATAAGTTCGGGCCTACCTCAAGGTATGTGGGGTGAGACAATTTGGACAAGTAATTACCTTTTAAATAACGTACCCTGCAAGAAGCTCGATAAGACTCCTTATGAGCTGTGGAAGGGTAGGAAACCTTCCTGCTAGTACCTGAAAGTGTGGGGGTGTCTTGCCAAAGTGTTGGTGCCAACACCTAAGAAAGTACAGATAGGTCCTAAGACGGTGGACTGTATCTTTATTGGCTACGCACGTGACAGTAGTGCTTATCGGTTCTTAGTACGCGAGTCCCACAATCCGGACGTACATAAGAACACAATAATATAATCAAGGAATGCATCTTTCTTTGAAAATGTATTTCCTTGTAGGTCCAACGAGGGACCGAGTACATCAAAACGAATGTTTGGAGTATGATTCGGGTACTCTAACTTGTTTATTAGAAAATGAACCTGATTTTTTATCTTGTTTGATAGAGAATGGGCCTTGAACGTATTTAGAAGTCGTGACTTCTACGGAATGACCAATGTGGAAAGAGGCTATTAAAAGTGAAGTGGATTCTATCTTACAAAATCACACTTAGGAACTTGTTGATCTTCCTCCGGGTAGTAAATCCTTAGGATCCAAGTGGGTATTTAAAAGGAAGATGAAACCGGATGGTTCCATTGAGAAGTATAAGGCTAGGCTTGTAATCAAGGGTTACAGGCAATGCGAGGGCCTTGATTACTTCGACACGTATTCTCCCGTGACGAGAATAAACTCTATTAGGATGATACTTGTCATAGTCACGTTGCGGAATTTGGAAGTTCATCAAATGGATGTTAAAACCGCTTTCCTAAATGGCGAATTAGATGAGGAAATATATATGGAACAACCCGAAGGGTTCGTCGTTCTGAGCCAAGAAAGGAAAGTGTGTAAGTTGGTTAAATCGCTATATGGTTTAAAACAAGCACCTAAGCAATGGCACGGGAAGTTTGACCATGCGATGTTGACTAATGGGTTTAAAATAAACGAAAGTGACAAATGTGTCTACATTAAAGAAACGATAGACGGCTATGTCATTCTTTGTTTATACGTAGATGATATGCTCATCGTTGGTAGTAATGATCGGATGATCAAGTCTACCAAAAACATGTTAAATGCGAGATTTGACATGAAGGATATGGGATTGGCGGATTTAATCCTCGGGGTTAAAATCATTAGATGACCTTATGGTCTTGTGTTGAGCCAATCACATTATATTGGCAAAATCCTTGCAAAATTCAACAAAGATGATGATCAATTGGCTAAGACACCATTTGATACAAACCTGCATCTAACCAAGAACCACGGAGAGTGTATGTCTCAAATAGAATATGTTTGGGTTATTGATAGTTTGATGTATCTTATGAGCTGTACTAGGCCGGATATTGCCTTTGCGGTTGGCAAACTCAATAGATATATGAGTAACCCTGGTACTATGCACTGGAAGGCAATAGTAAAGGTTATGAGATACTTAAGGTATGCTCGTGACCTTGGACTGCACTACGGGAGATATCCTGTTGTACTTGAAGGGCATAGCGACGCTAACTAGATATCTGATATTAAGGACTCTAAGTCCACGAGTAGCTACGTGTTTACACTAGCCGTTGCATGGAAATCCTCTAAGCCAACTGTGATAGCTAGATCCACGATGGAATATGAGCTGATAGCGTTGGATAAAGGTTGTGAAGAGGCTAAATGGCTACGCTATTTTCTAGAGGATATTCCAAAATGGGAAGAATTTGTACCTTCAATATGTGTGCATTGCGATAGTCAAACTACAATTGGGAGAGTACAGAGTCATATGTATAATGGTAAGTCTAGACACATGCATCGTAGACATAATACCATTAGACAACTTCTCACAATTGGTGTTCTCTCGATTGATTACGAAAAGTCAAAAGACAATATAGCGAATCCGCTAACCAAAGGTTAGGAAAAGAAGTTGTGGAGAAGCTGACACGAGGCCCTTGGACTAAAAAGTTCTATAGTGGATACCCAACCTAGCTAGCACCTAGGTTCAATGGGACAACTAAATTATAGAACAGAGCGTGTCACGGTGGGGGTCTCGGACTCCCTACCACTCCTCGTTAGAACAGTGACTCCCGTACAAGGCTGGCACATTGATGCTTTAAAGATACTAGCATGCGTTTGACATGTGTGAGTATGCGGGATACTCTGAAAAAAATCACCTATGTGAGAGAGAAGTGTGGGTCGCTTTAGAAGAGAATTTACGGGCTAAATTCTTTAGAAATTCTTGCAGAATTAGGAACGATGACCCACGACCAAAACGGGCATAGTCACGAGAATAGAGCATGGTTGGGAGGTTCCTGTGTGAGATATGTCATCGTCTACACAAACGCCAGTCGGTTCAAAGACATCGTGTTCTACCGTAAAGCCAGTAAAGTAAACATATCTTCATAAAGGAAGGTTCAAATGGTGACCCCTACCTATCCTATGTAGGGATCGACCGTTGAGCACAGTTGTTTCCGATTTTAAAATACCCTGAAAATCAATTTTTCATTCATGTGGGGGATTGTTGGAAAAAATAGCATAAATTGGCATAAAATGAAATTTTAAGTAGCTATTTTGTGGAACAAATATCAGTGGGGTGCACTTCCGATTTGGGTCGGGTCAAAGTGGATTCGGGTTCTTCGTAGTGAGACAAAGAGATTGACATAGTGTACGCTCAAAACGGATAATGGATGAATGAGATATTGATTCTCAAAGTAGACCCATTTGAGTTGGAAAAAATGAAGGAAAAAAATGGAGCTTTTGTCCCACATTTGTTTGGAAAGTGGATTTGCACCACTATTTATACAAGAGCCCTTCTAAGGCTTATTGAATTGTATAGCATAGAAACTTTTTCTCGCGCGCAGGGGGTGCCCCAAAATGAGGCTGAAAAGGCTTGATTCAGGCTTGAACCCGTGTACGCCAGTATTTTCCAACGAGCTACACTGGAGAGGTCGCAGTACATCTGCTCCAGTCCGAGTCTGTGGTACATCTGTACTACCGGCACATGGTACATCTGTCGTTCCCAGTCCGTGCCTACGTCTTCCGAACCGGTGCGGTACACGTCTATCGTTTTTGGAATGGTGACTATACAATTCATCTTACCGTTTTGAGAGATTAATTAAACTGTTACGGAATTAATTTCATATTAATTCTAATTTTGAATTCCAGAATTAATCTCCATGTTCAACAGTCAGTTTTGAAGGTTTTTAACCTGAACTTAAATGCCAAAGTAAATGTTATTTACACCACCTTCTCCTATATAAGAAGTAGTAGCAGCAGCAGATTTTTAAAACACAAAAAAAATAATATTTCAGCTCCAAAATCTATGCTTCTACTCCTTTCTTAGCCTACTGTGTTCTAAGCTTTGCTCTAGTTCGCCGGGTTCAAAGTCTGGGTGCTCAAACCTTGAACCGTAGCACGTTTTATCCTGGGAAACCTAGGCTCCCTTTACCCTAGCCCCATTACAACCATTTAAAAAAGTCCTTATGATTTGATCATGCATGTTATCTTGTAGTGGAGAATGAGAAGATATGCAAGCCTATGGTAGAATATTTCTATAAGAATTGATTTGAGTGAAATATACGCACCCTTCAAACACTTGTGCATTATGAGTGATATTCCCGTGAGAGCTTGGTTACTTAGTTCACTCTATTTTCAAATAAATTGCTAGCTAGTTATTTATAATGTGTTTGAGACTAATGTTCATGAAATATTATGAGTTTTTATATTTAAGTTTTCTTAAATAATGTTTTTGCTTGAGGACAAGCAAATGATTAGTGTGGAGAATTTTAATAAGTACAAATTTAATAAATATGATTAGTTTTTATAATAAATTACTTTTATTTATTTAGTATTTTATTTATTTTGAACTTTATTTTATCTTTTGCACTAATATTATAATAATTAAATAATTAGGCTTAATGAATATTTATTTCACTATTAGGATTGAATAAATTAATATGGAGTATAAATTGGGCTTAGTTGTTGATTTGGGCTAACATTCTTTTTTATTGTTCTAAATTAGTTAGCCCAACTTAAATATTTAATTGTTTTATAATTTCAGTAGCCCAATCTCCATTTAACATATTTGTCTTCTTTTTTTTTCTTTTCCCATTAAGCTTTATACGTACGTAGACAGCAGAATAGACGAAAGCATCAGCAATTGGGACGGTCCACTCCGTTGGCGACTTCTTCAACTAATCTCGTGAACAGCTGCAACGTGCTATTCAATCGACGATCTCGTGAACTGCCGAAGACTCCGTCTGCGAATTTCGTCCACGAACCGTCGACTCCGTCTGCGCATTTCGTCCACGAACCGTCGACTCCTTCTGCGGCTTCTTTGAACTTGTGGTCTGCTGCTACGGACAGAAGAAAACAGATTGAGGCAGAGTAATTGGAGCCTACTTTGTTAAATTTCTCTGGTTAGGAAAATAAATATTATTTATTTTCTAGATTTTATGTGGTTTAAGATATGAATTTAATTTGTGGATGTTAGGGAAATTAGGGTTATTTTGAGTTGATTAGGGAGCCTGAACTAGTATAAATAGGACTGGATTTTTCAGTAGAGAACAGTCAGTTTTCAGTCAGTTTTTAGAACAATTTTTTTTCTCTGTAAACATTACATTATGATTTATTGCTAAGTTTATTTTCCAACTCAAGAATAATTGAAGTTTTGGTTCTTTTAGGATTGTGAGACTTAATTTAGTTTTCTTTTATGCTATATTATTTATATATCTTCTATTATCTTGATATATTACTGCTTTGATTAATTGTGCAAAAAGGATCCGTTGTTCAATTTTCATTCCAGTAAATTGCCACTTAGAATTCTTGAATCCGTAATTGTTTAAGTATTATAAACCTTAGTGGTAAAATAGCATAGTTGATTATAAATTAGATTTTCAATCTTATGTTATGGAGATGTATAATCTAGTTTAAATGGACCGAGCTTGCGAGTCTGTTGGCTAGAATTGGTAGTCTTTCTAATTTTTAATGCGGGTAGTTAATTAAATCATAAGAGCTTGTTTATGGTTGTTAATTATCTAGGGAAGTAATTGAAGAGCCTGTTTTGATTACCGATAAAGTAAGGACAGATAGGTTGTTAGAGCTTGTTAATAACCATAACCAGTTTGGGGTAGGATAAAAGGATTTACACTTTATTTCAATGATCACTCCTTTGAATCAATTCTGATATTATGCCTTGGGTTGGATACTAGTTTTCTGTTGATCCATTTTATTTGATAATTAATATTCTTCGCTATTTTATTATTGCATTTTGAACTTGAATTATCATTCAATTCTTAATTTAATCTTGGCTCAAAATTAAACCGAACCAATCTCTAGGGATACGACCTTACTCATCACTGTTGCAATTTTATTAAAGTAAATTATTATTTGTTGGATTCGACACCCACCAGTCAGCATGTTCTTGTATTGATCCCTCCTAGTAATTGCAACATCTATCTCATCAAACGCAACAATGAATTCTGGGTTGTTCCAGAATTCCTCATTCTGTTGTGTCAATGTGATTTCATGGTTTGGAATCCCGAGCAGTTTCTGAGCAGATTCTACCATTTGTTTAAAATTTTCATCTTCAAGTGTATGATATGGTCCCTCTTGTGCCATCTCCATCACTTCAAGCATTGTCTTTGCAAGAAATTTTATCTTCGTGCAAATCTGTGCATATAATTCTCCTCTTTTTTTTGCAGCACAGATGTGATTTTCCAGTTAATAGAAGCACGCACTGATAGAACACTGTTACAGAGATAGAAATATTCTGAGTGCACAAATTGGAAGGTATAGATGCATATATAACATAAATTAGTTGCACACTAATCATTAATTACATTGTTTCACTTTTTTAGGATTATATTAATGTGGTATGTGTCATTTTTGCACAAAAGAGTGTTTTCTATGTACAGGTATGCATTTATTTGATTAGTAAACCTTTAAGTAGTGTTCTATGGTTTCAAAATTCTATGTGCAGTAATACATATAACTTCAAGTACATATAACTTAATCTAGTTACAGGACATAGTATTAGTACTTGTTACCTGTAGTTCCTCTTCACATTCATCTGATTTCTTTTCTTCATTCAGGTATGGCAGTTCCTGTGGGTCATCAATGTATCCATATCCAAAGCCACCTGAACTTATCTCAGCTTTTTCCCGTTTGTTGAGCAGATGTGTGTCCCATCCCTTGAAGGCTAGGAATGTCCTAGGTACCGATCTGCGATAAACCACTAATCTATCAACATAAAAAACCTGCAAAATGTATAAAATATATTTTAGTTTTTATATAGTAATCCTTCTTATTTATTTTTTTATAATTCTTAAATCAACTCACTGTCAAGAATACTATAGGTCCAGTGAACTTTTGGGATGTCTTCTTCGCCCATGCAACTTTGCTGTCGACTAGTGATCTGAGTACATACTCACACCAGTTAAGATCTGCAATCTTGGTCACATCAGCAAAGTTATTGATCATATATGTGTTAACATATCCAGTTGCAGTGCTCTCAAGAAACATGGTTGTTATAAGTAGTGCAAGATGCCGCTTGAACCATTCCCAGCCTTCCTTGTATGCTAGCATTGCCTTACACAATTGCATCGGTGTTATATTCAGATCATCCATTTTCAACCCTGCCTTCCAATCCTCAAGTAATGTAGTATCTTCAGCTCCTTTAGTTCTTCTGTCAATTTTGGTGCCTCCCTGAGGAAAACCCAGTGTTATTGCTACGTCATTCTCCATAATGTGAAGCTCCTTCCAATCCCTCACATGTAAACAACAGCTTCGTGGGTCAAATTTTTTTAGCAGCCACTATCCCAGTTTGGCAAGGAACCTTGAAATTTGTTGATGACGTATGTGCTGAAAACCCATTTCTTCTACACTACGCCATTGCGCATCATTAAACTTGAAAAAGTGCCGTGAATCTTGAATGCAAGTATAAACCTATGAGTTCTAATTGGTTTTATAAATATGAACTAACCACCCTTTAATTATGTTGATTTACAAAAAAAAAAAAAAAAAAAAAAAAAAAAAAAAAAAAAAAAACAAACAAACAAAAATTAAAGGTAAGACAATAAAACCCGAAACGCACTAATTGTTTACGCAGTTCGGAGCACTTCTCCTATGTCTGCAGGGTAACCCACGTCTGCCCAATCCACTAGAGATGTTCACCGATGAGTTTTACAAGGGGTAGGTACATAAGGCGATCAGCCACTACTACTACTACAATCTTCCTAACATCCACTCAGGATTGGTACGTGCATGCCTTCATTTTCATCAACTGTTGATGTGCCTGACTCTATTCCAGATCAGCTAGACAAGTGACATCCGAATGCAGTAACTCCAATTTAGATTGTAAATAGCTAAAGTAATATTCAGATTGTTTCTCCCATAATTTGTCTTAGAAAACCCGTAGAATGAATGTAATGTAGATAGCTTTTGCCACTCAATATTATCTTCTCAAAATCTGAGCCTGTGGAGTGATAAGATAACCATCCTTTTTATATCCATTTTTCACTAAACCAAATTCTCCTAAATCTATGCTGACCCCACGCCATACTTAACAGATGTCGACATTAATTTAAATCAAGCTAAATAATAGATCAAACCTTGGAAAACTGATTAGAGCTAAAAGATAGGAGATGGTCCAAGATTATAACATAAAATAATTCACATAAAATAGTTCTAACATTTTGACCATTAAATTAGTCAATTTATATTAAGGGTTTAATGTGTATCATTTATACACTTATAATCTCCCCCTTTGCCAATTTAATTGGCAAAAACTAAGGCTTATATACTTTGGGCAAAATACATTAATCTTTAAACAATTTCATTAATAATTTGCCCTTAGTATATTTGCTTGACATAAAACCTATGGGTTAGAATTATTTTAGAGATTACCATGACATATGAACAATTGCTCCATCCGCAGATAATGCACTCCGAGCAATAAACTGTATCACACAATCACATTGTATAGATGATACTGTATAGATAGGCCAATGATACCATACCTCCATTTGAACTCCAATGAAAACAATAATATCAATAATAATAAGCCCGAATGATCCAAGAACCCATAAGCCAATCAACAATAATATCAATAATAAGAAGCTCGAATGATCCAAGAACCCATAAGTCAATCAACAAAATAACCACCATCCAACCATCAAAGCCAATTGCTACCAATCAGTGCGTCACCATCCAACAAACAATTACCAAATACTCCCCCTTATTCCAACCATACTCCCCCTTTTTGTCAATAAATTGACAAAGGTGAACATCTATATTAGTGGATTGAGTTTGACGGAGTGCCCGATTGGACTGAACCTGCACAAGAAAAATAGAGACGAAAACATGCAGAATTTGATAACAATTAAGCAAATAACATATAAGCACATAAAGACATACAAATCAAGTTGGAGCAGATAAAGCAAATAAAGCATAACCAAATAGTAAACAAATTTCACATTTAGGTAAAGCAAATTCAAGCACAAATTCATATAAACAGATTCATAACAGAGAGCACGGAAAACACACACAAATAATACAAACTTTAAATTGGGTCACTCAAAAAAAAATATTGGTAAATTAGACAGTAAGCACATTCAAGCATGGTTGCAAAAATTGCGCCTAGGCGCTAGGCGCCCGGCCGCCGCCGCGAAGAAGGCCGGAATCGGCCTCCTCCGCGGCCGGCCCGCCTAGACCGCCTAGCCAGCTGAACCGATGGTTTAATAATTTTTTTTTTTTTTTTTTTTTTTTTGCGTTTTAAATTGCGAAAAGTTCGGGAAGGCATAACTTTTGACTCGGTTGTCTGTTTTGGACAATTTTTTTTTTCAAATCACGTAAACATTCTTTTGAACAATTTTAGTTTGGTCCACTAATTTCTCAAAAAAAAATGTTTTAAAGGCAGTTTGGTCCACTAATTTTTCAAAAAAATGCTTCTTTAGCTCTTAATTTTAGTTTTTTATGTATTTAGATGGTTTAAACAATCGTTTGAACAATTTTACAACTACTTTCGTAAATAGTTTCTAAGAAATAACTATGAAAACTTTATGTTTTATTACTAAATTTTTAAAAAATTAAATTTTTAATTTTATTTTTAAATAAATAAATTGGCGCCTAGGCGCTACGCGCCCCCTTGCCGCCTAGGGGGCGCCTAACGTTTTTTGCAACATTGCATTCAAGTAATGCATATTCAGGCAGAGATTCATATAAAGCAACTTCAGGCAAGAATTCATAACAGTTAGCACACTAGGCACACAAACAAACACAAATACGGTCATGACCGGACCAAACAAACAACACAGAGGAAAAGAAATCAGATAACACTCAATAATTTCAAATTCAGACATCAATCATTGGAGCAGATAAATAGGTACACAATATTCAATCAAAAGATAGGAATATTTAATGAACACACAAAAACATCCAAAACAAGTTCAAATACAAATATACGCACATAATATCAAAAAAAAAAATCATCTTAGAAAATTCAAGATAAAGAGAAGGTGGATAGATAAGAAACTAATAAGTCTGAATACTTGGCTTTTAAAAATGTGAATTCAAGATGGCTTTTATCACTGCTTAGCCTTAAGACTTAATCTGCACACGAGAAAAAAAATATTAGCAACACTAAGTAATATTTATTTGTGAATTAGTGTACCTGAAATTTTATTAACACGGTCAAAAAGAAATTTAATTAGCTGGATTGCTAACGCCCTAATTTTTGATGCCACAACTCAGACAAATTTATGCTGGACCTGCAAAAACGAATATCGTTTGTTAGAATATAGCATCTGTTTGTTGATCGCTTACCTTCCATATATAACACATTGCTTTTTATTATCCATAACGCTGCAGTTATCTTTGGCGAAGCTGACATTCCAGTTTTGGTCACAAAGTTGGCTGATACTTATTAGGTTGGCATGAAGATCGTTCACTAGCAACACTTTCTCTAGCTTAGGTAACCCAGCCACGTTTAGAGTACATACTCCAGTGACTTGACCGTTAATACCATCACCAAATGTGACTTCACCTTTGCTAGCATTTACGTTACTTAGGAATTTTGCATTTCCTGTCATGTGACGTGAACACCCGCTGTCGAAATACCACTTTCTTTCTCTTCCTGCATTTTTAGAGTGAAACGAGACAAATGAAATATAATCACTTTTCTTAACCCAAATTTGTTTTGTAAAAGGCTTGATGTTCGTGTGTCTGAATTTTTCAGCCCTTTAATCCTTGTAAAAGTAGTAACATTCGGGTCTGATATGGCCACGCAACCTGCAATAATGACAAACGGGGTTATAGAGTTTACAAAAGTGTTTATTGAACCGTACTATACCATTATTTTGTCTCGCTGAGCTGGATTCAAGAATGTCTTCTGGATCTGGTACTACTGATTCTTTGACAAATACAGCTTTATCTTTTAAAGTACCCCCAGTGAAGCCCAGACCAAATTTTGCAGAAGACTTTCTTCCTGAATCAAGTATTTGGTCAAGAGTTGATGTGGTATCCATCATTTGGATTTGTCTTTTGAAGGTGCTCAGCTCCTGCTTCAGGGTCTATACTTTCTGTTTCAGTTTCTCATCTAGATCAGACGCCTCTTTAAGTAGTAAATCTCTATCAGTTACTTGATTTTGGTACACTTTACTAGCATTGGCTAATATTCATATCTCACTAGTCAATGCACGATTAGCTTTACGTAGGGTTTCCCACTTGGGATACAATTTATTAAACTCTACTTCATAAGACAAAGCAGGTAAATCTAAATCTTCCGCGGGGCCAGATTCGCCTCCTTCTGAATCAACTATGCCTCCAAGGTCTAAACACGCTGCAACACGAGCAGTGAATGCTACAAAGTTACTGGATATTTCTTCTGCGTCAGATCCAGCTGCGTCTATCTCAGGTTCGTCGTCACTCCAGGTAATGGCCGACATAGATTTCTTACGTCTTAGATAGGTGGGACATTCCGCTTGGACGTGACCGAAGCCTTCACACTCATAGCATTTAATCCCTTTATCGCTAGATTTGTCTTTGGACTGCCCTGGACGTGTGGCGGAAGGCATGAAATTTGATGAGCCCGTCCTGGGGCCAGCTTTTGTTGTATTTGACGTTGATCCTTTCTGTGGTTTGTTGTTGCGGGAATTCTTTGACACCTGTTTCAAGATTTTAGAAAATTGCTTAGTTAAAAAAACCACAGTATCATCACCTGGTTCATCTTAATCAGAGGCAAGATTGTTTTCTTCAGCAGCAAAAGCTAAATTTTTTTGTTATTTAGTGTGATCGGTAAGAATTTCCATTTCATATGTTTGAAGGTTTCCCATTAATTGAGTGACAGTCTTGTTTTCCCAGCCGTCATGTTCCTGAATAGCAGTGATCTTCATCCTGAACCTAGGCGGTAGAGATCTCAGAATTTTCTTTACCAGTTTTGCTTGAGGGAAAGGTTCACCATGGACCGTTGCACGATTCGCCAACTCTTGCACTCGGCTATGGAAGCTTGTGATGTTCTCTTCTTCGCTCATCCGAAGTTCTTCAAAGTCAGACTGTACCAATTGTAGTTTTGATTGTTTCATAGAATTCGTGCCCTCGTAGGTTGACTCAAGAGCTTCCCACGCACCTTTAGCTGAATCATAACCTGCAACTATAGGAAATTGACTTTCGTGTATTATTTGGTAATAATATCTAGTGCTTTATCGTTATTTCCATCATTAGTGATTTCAGTTTGGGTCCATTCAGTTTCAGGTTTTGTCACTTGTGGACCGTTAGCACTAGTCTCGGCTTTAGTCGGATGAATCCAACCCGTCACAACAAAACGCCAAACAAGTTCTCCTTGAGCTTTTAGGTGCGTTCATGTGCATGCTTTCCAATAAGCATAATTGTTGCCCGTTAACTGGGGAAGAACCTTAAC